TATATATATATATATATATATACATATACATATATATATATATATATATATATATATTTATATATAATATAAATTTTGTGTCTCGTGTTAATATATTCATATATAGCATTTGTTTCGGTATCTTTTCTTCGTTTTCGCGCGACGTGGAAAACTACTGCTATATAATTTCTTACCCTATACAACGGAGCAACAATAATAACAACGGGCAGCGTGAAGAGACCCGAGTCTTCTTTCTCATTTGTTTGTCTCTTTTTATTCTTGTCCTGATTTCTTCAGTTCATCCATTTGCGGCAATTAGGCGCGCCACAGGCGCATGCAATTTTGTGCTGATCATCTTCGATGTCGAATTTATAATCGTATGCCAACTGGAAGAAAAAAGAAACAAATAAGAACAGAAGAAACAAAGAATTTAAGACGAAAGATAAGGTTTAAAGAATAAAGAATTTCAAACGATTAATTTAAAAACAAAAATGAAAACAGAATTGGCTATATTCTATGAAATATATCTTATCTTATAAATTACCTCTTCGCCACGTTGGATTCTACGTTTGGCAAAAATGATAATTCTGAGATCACGTTCAACCTCGACGATCTCGGCGACGCAATTGGGATTACAGGAGTGGTTGATATAACGAGCGAGACCACCGCACAGTGTTGCATCCACCACTCGTTCTTCGTCCAATCGGAACATATATATACCGCGATTCTAAAAAAAATAATATAAAATTATCAGAATAGATTTAATTAATAGAATACAAGTCGAACAAGCTTCGACACTCACTCTAGCTTCATACTGTTTCTCTCTTGTTTCCGCGAGTTCAGTCCTAATAATTTCGCCGATATATTCGATCACCATTGTATGCTTCTCAAGATCTCTCGCCGCGTAGAGTCCCAAACCCTGAATCTTCGATCTTGCCAGATAAACATTGTTACGCCACTCCTGTTTCATCTTTTTATACTGCGAGCTCTTGGAGTGAACAAATTGTTTAGAATACGGACAGGAGGCTGCCTCGCCAGCGGCAGCAGCAGCAGCCGCTAATGTCGATGAAACGCCAGCGCCCATCGTAACCGATGACCCGCATGTCGATAGGGCAAATGGCACAGCCGTTCCACCACGCGATGCCCAACCTCCTGTGCGCTGTGTGTGTGGTCGCTTCCACGGCAATTGGTTACGCAAGCGAGCCTCTGTCCGTGCGCTTCCAGTCGGATTGATAGCCAAGGGTAATTCCAGCAATGGATTGCGACCAAATTTAAACCTGAGCGTAGAGATATATTTTGCCATCACTACTGAAGTTTGTAATATTTTATGATGATGTATCGCAGAAGGATTGATTGAAGATATAATAAAAGTTTAAATACAAGCTTTTAACACGTGAATAAAATATAACGGTATACATGTAAGAGATTAGAATTCAATCGATATTACTCAATCAATAAAAAAAAATAGTCAAACTCTTTACCTGTAGTCAGTCAGAGTCTCAATTCCAGGCAAACTTTCGAGAACTCGTACCACTGCCGGCTCTGTCAATCCGAATAGATCTTCGCCCAAAACATATCTTGGAAATAATTGAACAGAGTTCGTACTTTTTCTCAATTCTGCAAGCGGTTCTAAAATTCTACTCCAAACAGCTCGCGGACTGGCATCTCTCAACTCAACATCCTCTTGATTAGGTTCCTGGACTAATACGCGAAATTCTGGACGACCGGATACATCGTGAATCGAGCAGACATAGCGGCAGCGTTTGTTCGGTCTGCGCATACTCCAATAGAAGCGCACTATCTTGTAGCCCACCGGATAGATGTAGTGGGCCGTGTGAAAGTTTTGCAATTGATGGGGAAGCAATTGTCCGACGCTAAGGAAGATAAGAGAACCCACGCGAAGTAGATGATTGTGTTCGGAATGGTGCATCACTGCGGCAACTTGACGATTTTCATCGCGATTAACGTAGACACGACGATAGACAGAGAGCGTGGTCAGCTCGTTGTCTTTCTCGTTCTTTTGAATGTGCTGAGAACAAAAGGTGCTCTGGAAAAAGACAAAGAATTCAGTTACTCTAATAATACTGTGTAAAAAAAGTAGAAAGTGAGAACTAAAATTTTAAAAGAATTATGAAAATAAAAAATTAAAGAACCAAGACTTTAAGAACTTGATATTAAAAATACTTTTAAGTCAATATACACATTTAAAATTATATTAAATATACTCTAATATTAAACAAGGTAATTAATCGATTCGTTCACAAAGCAAATAAATATTAATTCTATATATAATACCTTGTTCTTATAAAAGACGCATCCATCTTTGACAGCGCAGCCCAAATGATAAACGTTGGTGCATCTTATCTTAAAGCACTTGACTGTGGCACCAGGTTTCTCGCAAACGATGCAATTTAGCACGAGGCTGTGTTGCAGCGCGGTATCTAAATTCATTAGTGCGCCGGTCATTATCTCATATACATCTTCAGACCATAACGCGCAATTGAGGTGTACCCATTTATCTACGTCAAAATTGAGCAATCGAGCCGGTCCATCGGCCGTCCCGTCGCCTTGATTCTGACAGAACATGCAACGACGACTGTCTTCGGCTTTTGCGGGCACTACGGTAACTCCCATACGAAATAGCATCTGGAAAAAGATTGATATTATATTTCTCGTGAGCAAATTTTATACCAAAATTTTTTTTAATGCACTAGAGAAATAGTAAATTATTTGATATCAATATTAAAAAGCTTACATAAAGTTTTTAAATAACGAATTACCAATATAATACATGAATAATCGCATTATTCACACAACACTCTGAAAAATAATCATTAAATCACAAAATTAACCATTTACCTCGGTAATTTCTTTCTCATTGGGTTTTTTGAACTTGGTGGTGGGATGTATGGTTCCCATCGACCATAATTTGTATCTCGAACCTTTCCAGATCTTTGCGGGTGGTTGTGGCTCGGTCACTTCACCAATGTCGTCAATAATAGAGTGTTTCTTCGGCCGCAGATTTTCGATCTCTGCACTCTCCGCGTTCTCCAGCTTTTCAATTTTCACCTTAATCTCTGATGATGATTCATTATCAAGCTCCAGGCTCTCAATTCTCTCCACCTGTTGCTGCGGTTGCTTAATAGGAAACCTTTTCAGGCTCTTTAGATCGTCTTCTAGCAATTTTGCGTCTGCTTTATGACATAAGTGGTCCACTATCGTCGCAGCCTGTAAAATAATGAAAGAATTAATATGCAAGTAATACTCAGTTTTAAATAATAATATTAATATAATATTATAGTATTAATATAATATTATAAGTATTAATATTAATTAATAATAATATTAATATTATTATTTACTAATATAATATTATAAATATTAATATTAATTAATAATAATATTAATATTATTGCTACATATTTACTTTATGCGTAATAATTAATTATAAAATAAATTTCTAAAAAATATTATATAGAATAAGTTATTCTTTGCTAACCTTATCCTGAGTCGTAGAGGGTGTGCGATGCATAAGCGCGAATTGCATATAACAAGCAGCCGAACAAAAGCAAAGTTCGTCGCCAGATTCGGCTTCTTCCTTACTCAAGAACGACAGATCCGACACTTTCTTCCGAATCAGGCTATTAAGAATCACAACGTCGCAATGACGGCAGAACTTTGCCGCACCATTCAGGATACTTTGTATATCAATTGGAGCTAGATGATAAATAGATATATGTATTTTAAAATAATATTATAATTTTAAGTACTGTTAATCAAAGAATGTGCATCTTTTTTATCTACTAATTTTATTTATAGAACTCTGATTTTATAATTCAGAATTTTTTTTTAAAGGAAATTTGTATCGATATTTTCGTTTAATTCATACAAATTATTTTTAATGATAATTATTTTATTGGTTACGTACCACCCTCTTTGCCATCCTTTCCTTTAGTCCTGTACAATCCCAGTTTTTGACTGGGAGGAGTAGTGGTGCGTTCAACTATTTGGTAGCCAGCTGGTGGAGCTATATTCAGAATGTTTGCAAGATCTTTAAGTACACCCATTATATCATCGGCAGCCTGACTGTTCAGAGTTAAGGTCACGGTTACGTTTCCGCTTTCCCGTAGAGGAATCGGAGGAGACTTGCCAAGTCTGGAAAAGTTCAAATAATAAAATTTCAATAAACAATATATACAATGTACCAAACAATAATAGAGAAAAAAAATATACATACTTGGGCATTCCAAGATTTTCCTTGTCCTGCTTAGCTGTATCTTTTACATAAGCAGGTTTCAATCTGATTGGAATCGGCGAGACCAAAGGTATAACAGGTGACACGCGTTTCAGCCAGTCTGATTCTTCGTCTGATTCTTCCTCGATCAATCGCAATCCGGGGTAACGATGCATAAATTCTGGTATAACACATTCAGGTGAGGACGAACTCACAATGGTGTCAGGAGAGTCCACATCACGACTTGTTGCCATATGCTCTTTTTTCTCATCAGCTAAAAAAATATGTTCTTATTTATTTATACAGTATATTTTAAAAGTGCTTTACTTCTTATATTTATATTATTTTTTGATTCTATATATAGCTTCCTAGAGTCGAAGTAACTCGATTAAAATTACTTGCAACTTTTTTTTACATAAATATTTATAATAATAAATAGTTGCTCACAATCGTCCAATTTCAGAGGCGGAAACTCTTGATCATAGAATCCTCTCTGCGTGGTCGAGGGTTGCTGGGGTGGCAGAGGTTCTAATTCTCCAAAAGGTTGCGTATTATAGTGATCAGAAATCCCAGGTAAATTGGCCAATCCATAATTTCCAACCAAATCGCCGGTCCTCGCGTTATAATCCTTCTGACTTCCAACCTTAACGAGATCCCCGCAGCCAAAAATCGGACACACTCCGAAATTGCGACTCAGAAGAGGCTCCAGAACTGCCATTGGTTGAATCTGCCGTAGCTGTGCCATCAGACTATCCACAAACGTGTCATAGTCTTCGTCGAGACGTGAAACTTTGCGAGAACGTTTCTTCTGCGGTGCAGCTACAGCATCTTTGCCTTGACTCTGCTTTCGCTTTTGCTGGTACTGTCTCCTCTTCAATTTCTTGAGATCTGAAAGTATTTCAAGCACGAATGGTTTAATTATATTATTTAGTGATTAATATAATAGAATTTTCAATTTTATATTTAAGAAGATAAAATTTTTATTTAAGTAAATAAATTTTAGATCGCGTTCTGGATGCAATTAAGATATATTTTCACAAATTTATATTTGTCTTTAAAAAAACACTTGACATATTAAATATTGACGAAAGTTGCTCACCGGTTTTATCGTCTATCGCAGTATCCATGAGCTCTTCTTTGGCAGTAATAAAGTCTTTGGTATCGGTCTGCATCTGAGTGGTTGGAGTGGTTGCACCGGCAGCGGACATAACTTCCTCAAGGATTTCCTTCTTCACTTCGACCAAAGGCACTGCATTGGAACCCGACGGGGCGGCGGACCCCGTGACGGTCTGTGGTGGGCCCGCGATGGTCCCATGACTATGAGGCACTTGTTGCTGAACAGATTGTTGTGGAACAGAAGAAATCGAAGAGGAAGAAGAAGAAGAAGAAGAAACTTGTTGCTGAGTTACTATCGGTTTTTGCGCGACTTGAACCTGATTTTGAGTTTGCTGTATCTGAGGAGTCTGAGGTCCAGGAACGCTACTAGAAATACTGGTCGGCGGTTGGACGCTTTTCGCGGCTAAGCCGGACGTCATCAACGGTTTACTCTGTAAACTGACTTTTGAAATAGAAACGGCGACGCGTTGTTGAATTTGAGATCCCTCGCTGCTGACAGTCACCGGCTTGCTTTGACTTGCAGAAGTCTCTTGCTGAGTGGAAACAATCGGAGAAGCTTTCGCCGTTGTTATTGTCGTAGAAACGGGCTGCGGACTTGCCGAAGAACTTACCGTAGAATTTGCCGACGAAATAGGAACTGACTTTGTCGCTTGCTGCTTCAAGCTTTCGATTTGTCCTCTTTGTGTCATAGCGACTGAAGTAGGTAATAAAGGAGGCGGTTTAGAAGATTCTTCCTTAATCGGTGAACTCTGAACCTTCATGGGTGTCACCGAATGCGATAAGAAGGAGGTTTCCCTCGCAAGAACTTGTTTATTTATTGCTGGTTTGGGTGTCTCGTTTAGTAACTGCGGGAGCAGAGACGGTGGCGTAGGCAGTACTGGTCGGTCCAATTGAGCTTCCAGCGAAGGAACTAACGGCAAAGTGGGTCCTTGCAACGATCCCACTGTTGTAGCACACGCTGTATTCTGTAGCAGTTGTTTCAGCAACACATTCTGCGATTCTTCTAATCTCAAAGAACTAGAAGAATTTTTAGAATCAGTTTCCTTCTTCTCTTGGACTTTCGGCTCTTCAGGCTCTTTCTTCAAAGCGGTAGATTGATTTTCAAGATCGTTATTTTTATTGTCGATGGGTAGAAGAACCGGGGACTTATACTGACCCTGACTAGAAGTCAAAAGATGGCCTGAGGCTTGCGATAAGGTTGACTGAAGAATGCTAGGTGTGCCAGAAACTCCACTAGAAGTCGCTAACGGCGGCACGATAGTTCTAACGCACTGCATTGCGCTTGTTACAACCGAACTGGTGTTCACCAGCGCACGAGCAGGCGTGGAACATCCTGTGCTAACCTGAAGTATTGCCTGAAGACCTTGTGAGCGTTGTACTGACGTCGACGGCAAGACCGAACTCAGAAGAGTGGCTGACTGAGTTGGCACGGTATTACTTCGACCGTGACCAGCAATTGAAGGCTTCAAGGTGCTAGTTCCGGCTAACATGGCGTTCAGCATGACATTCGAAGCAATAGAAATGGACGTTGTGATGGTTCTTGAAGTTATTAATGTTGAGGAAGTGATTGGAAGATTACAAACTGAAGTGGATTGAAGAGCTGTGGCCGAAGAAGTCACCCTAAAGACTTGATCGTTAGTATTAACCTTCGGAATCGTCGTAATAACCGCACTAGGTTCCTTCAATGTCTCCTTTTTAATTAAGTCTGAATCTTTAGTAATGTTACTGGTCAAATTGAGTTGAGGACGACCTTGATCCGATCTCGTCAAAGTCAAAAGTCCACTTTGAGTATTGTTGGATGAATTCAGGGTCGATAGAGCGCTGGAAGTGGACAAAACACTTCCAGGTTTCACCGAAGAAACCATGGTGACTACTCCTGTTGGATTCACCGTCGTCTGATTGCTTTGCAGAGACGATAACAACGTTCTCAGTTGATGGGACACGTTGGCCACGTTGGAGGTTAATTCTGTCGGCTTCGAGAGCGGCGATAAATGAGGAACCGTTGTCGTGCTCTTTTGCAGCTGCGCCACAGTAGTACTGGCCACCAAAGTAGAAGCTTGAGTCGACGCCGGAAGACTTTTCTTCACTTCAGGATTTTGACTTTTCGGTTGACTTTTAGTTTCGGTTGTAGGAATTGTTTGATCGTTCTCAAGATTATCTTGTTCTAAATCCAACGAGTCTTGAAGAATATTCAAGGGCAAAGTATCCAGCGGAGTTGGCATCTGATAAATCAAGCTCGATTTCAATTCGTCGCTGCTTGCCATTTCTGGCTTCGGGGAGATGATGTTCTGCAAAAGATCTAAAATATCATCGGAAGATTCCTCCATCAAAGTCTTTTCTTCGCTCAAACAATGCTGCAGGAAAGGCTTAGTATTCTCCACTTCAGCACACAGCTCGTCCTGATGATGCTTCTCCTTTGAAATTGTATTTCTGTCATTGCTAACCTTTTCAATGTCTTTTTCTTTCGATTTGTTCGCCCCTTTTTGCGCGTCAGTACCTGAAGAAATTTGCTCTTTGTCGTTCTCGACCGGTTCGGTGTCGTTCTCCAAAATGTTCACGAGCGATAGATCATCGGTGACGGGCGACATCCGTTTCAGAGTCGTCGTTGAGTTATCGTTCTTATGTCCAGCATTTTCTGCGGGATTATGTATAGCTTCTAACATGCTCTCTAACTCGTCTGTTGTATTTAGCGGATCGCTCTTTTTCTCCTCGGTAACTGATAAATCACCCGAAGAATCGCTCTCGTTCTTAATTTTGTATTGAATTTCCTCTTCTTCTGCCTTTCTCTTTATTTCGTCGTCTCGACTTTCTACTTGTTTCTCTTTGCTCTTCAAAGTAGTCTCCTTCTTCGACAAATCCGGAATCGACATCTTCGGCGTCGACATTGTCACGGAAGTTGGCTTTACACTTAGTATTAACTTCGTGGGATTATTCATGGACTCCGTTGTATTTAGCAAACCCGAAGAAGTTGCCGAAATCTTACCTAAAGATAATATTTTCGGCGTTTCGCTGGCAGAGATGATCTTCAGATCTGATTTATTTTGTCGAGGATTGGAAATACTCTCCAGAGCGGTTTGACTGAGTTTCGCGGCGATCTTTGCGTCCGCCACTATACTCGCCATCATTGACGGCAATGTGATATCTTTCTGACTGCCGAAGAAGCCTTCCTTACAGTCAAATTGACCTGCCGGTTTTGTCTCTGTCGCGATCGGCTGAATTAAGATTTTATTCAGGTGAGAGGTGGAACTGGTAGAAGCTAGAATCGGAGTTGAACAGGACGAAATTGCTTGTACTTTTATTGCACTACCGACAGTACTTGCCAAAGAAATCGTCGATTTTGTAGCTGCGCTAATATTTGCTTGATGGACAGTTGAGGCCGCAATTTTGCCGTAAGATGTTTTGTCCGAAAAAATAAAGTTTGTAGGACTCTTCCGCTTCGCAGTCTTGGTTTGATCGTCTATCAAGCTTTCACCAATTGTATTTTCCTTGGAAACGTCAGTTTGTACGTTGGAATCGGATTTTTCAGTCTCTTCGTCGCAAGAACCCTTAGAAAGGTTGTCTTCAGGAGATTTCGTCGTCGGATCAATGATAACCACCTCGGATTCACTTACTAAAGATACCATTAGATCCTGATCAGGAGACTGATCTAAGTAAGAACCTGGAGATGGATCCACTCGGAGTTCATCTTGATCGGGAGATTCTGGAGTATCAGTTACTGCGACTAGCTTCTTTCCGGGTTGCAGAGTCCTCACGATATCGAGTCTCAGATTCTTTTTATTCCTCGAATGCGACGGTACTAAATCTTCATCGCTCAAAATAGGCTCCTCCGATTGCGATTCAGGATTTTCGATCTCCAGAATTTGCACTAGATCGTGACTTTGATCACCATCATTCACCAGAGCATGGCAAAGTAAATCGTTACTGTCGGCAGAGATGTTCACCACCATTTCAGGTTCAAAGAGAACATACTCTTCTTGCATATCACCTTCCAAACTTCCTGAAATAACATCAACCAGCTCCGAGTCGCCGAATTGTTCAATTACAGTAATATCATCGCTATCTCGTTGGGCTGCAGAGCTTAAGGTCACCTCAGTGTTAACTATAGTTTTATCGTCGTCGAAATACGTCGTGTCTGGAAGTTGTTCCAGTTTCTCCCCGGGACTTTCCAGAGCTAGTGGTCCATTATCCAAAACCGAAGAGGTCAGAGAAGTACCTTGATTATTAGATTTCCCTTCCAAAGTCGTCGGCGAGGCTTGTGGCGGCGTGTGTGAATCGTCATCAAAATCGTTGTAATCGGCGCAGACCAATGAACCAATCCTTGCAGCCTTTCGACTCGCTGAAATCATCGCCTTCTCTTCCACAGATTGATCTCTCTTCGCTTGAGATGTTTCCGAGCCTTTGCCGCCCTTGCTATTCTCCGCCTTACTTGACCACATCGGCGAACCACCTCTCAAACCTAATTTGAAGAATCCAAACCTCCCGAAATTTGGAAGCAGTCTCGATCTTCTAGGTTTACTGGAATCTTCTCCACTTTTTGCAGAATTTTCTGTTGAAACTTGTTCGTGAGAAATTTGCTGAATATTGGGCGAGCCGCCTCTTAATCCTAATTTAAAATATTCCGGTTTACCACAATTAGAAAAAGGAACTGGATTTATAGGATTATTCGGATTTCCTCCGCCTCTGGCAGAATTTTCTGACAAAGATTGCTCCTGAGAAACTTGCTGAGAAATTTGCTGCGAAATTTGTTGTTGGTCGTTTGTTGCTAAATTAGTATTTTGTTGAACAAAACTATGAGGTGTGTGCGGTGTTCGTGGAGTTCCGGGATTTTCCACACTCTGAGGCCTGTCTGGCATGGCTGGACTATTTCCGGTGGACTGTCTTCGTTGCATCTGCATAGGAGATCCGGCAACCATGGGACTCCTAGGCATCATAGGTGAGCTGGGCGGCTGATTAGTTGTTGAAGAATGATGATGGCCGCCGTGGAGCATCGGCGAAATCCTACTCATCGGACTAGGCGGTTGAGAGGTTGGATTCAGCTGCTGTTGAAGCATCGGAGATCCCATCGTTGCCTGCTGCACCATGGGTGAGCTTGGAGGTTGACCATAACCTTGCTGAAGCTGTTGATGAAGCTGCGGACTAGGAGAACTCGCTGGCTGAGATACCATTGGCGAGCTAGGCGGCTTTTGTTGCTGTTGTTGTTGCTGCTGCATTTGTAAGAATTGTTGACGTTGTTGCATTTGTTGCTGCTGCTGCTGCTGCAGAATATGCTGCCGTTGATGAGCCATTTGAATTGTTCTTTGAGTGATAGAATTCGGTCCTTCTTGAGAAACGCCTTCGTGCTGCTGTTGTTGGTGAATCTGTTGACGTTGTTGAACCATTTGAAGCGATCTCTGAACATTAGAAGTCTGCCCTTCTTGAGAAATAGCTTCATGTTGTTGTTGTTGTTGTTGTTGTTGTTGTTGTTGTTGTTGTTGTTGTTGCTGCTGCTGCTGTTGATGAAGGATCTGTTGTCGTTGCTGAGTTGTCAATTGCAATGATCTCTGAGAAATTGAATTTTGTCCTTCTTGAGAAATATTCTGAGATACATTTTCATGTTGTTGAAAAATTTGTTGTCGTTGCGCCATTGGCAACGATCTTTGAGTAATAGTGCTTTGTCCATCTGGAGAGACACCCTCGTGCTGCTGCTGAATTTGCTGTTGTTGAAGAATTTGTTGTTGCTGTTGAAGAGCTTGTCGTTGCTGAGCCATTTGTAAATTTCTTTGGGCGACAACGTTCTGGCCATCTTGAGAAATACCTTCATGCTGCGGCTGCGGTTGCTGCTGCTGTTGCTGCTGCTGTTGCTGCTGCTGCTGCTGTTGTTGGTGCTGTTGCAAAATTTGTTGACGTTGTTGAACCATTTGTAATGTTCTTTGTGCAACAATATTCTGTCCTTCTTGAGAAATAACCTGAGAAACACCCTCATGCTGCTGTTGTTGGAGAATTTGCTGGCGCGCCATTTGCAAATTCCTTTGAGCAGCGACATTCCCATCCTGAGAAATGCCATCTTGTTGCTGCTGCTGTTGCCGCGGCTGAACTACTTGCAGTGTTCTTTGACAAATAGAATTTTGTCCTTCTTGAGAAATACCTTGAGAAACACCTTCGTGCTGCTGCTGAAGAATTTGTTGTTGTTGAAGAATCTGCTGTCGTTGCTGTACCATCTGCAAATTCCTTTGAGCAGTAACATTTTGCCCTTCCTGAGAAATAATATCATTCTGCTGCTGCTGTTGAAGAATTGGTCGCTGTTGTTGCTGAGTCATTTGCAGCAATCTTTGATTAATAGAATTTTGTCCTTCTTGAGAAATATTTTCAGACTGCTGTTGCTGCTGTAGAATTTGTTGTTGGAGAATTTGCTGTCGTTGTTGAGTAATTTGCAGCGGTCTTTGAGCAACGATATTTTGACCGTCTTGTGAAATACCTTCTTGTTGAGGTTGCTGTTGCTGTTGCTGCTGTTGTTGAATAATTTGTTGACGTTGCTGAGCCATTTGCAAATTTCTTTGCGTGACAACATTTTGTCCATCCTGAGAAATAAGATCACTTTGTTGTTGCTGTTGTTGAAGAATTTGCCTTTGTTGAGCCATTTGCAAATTTCGTTGAGCAACGTTTTTACTCTCCTGTGAAATATCATTCTGTTGCTGAAGAATTTGTTGTCGTGCAACGCCTTCATGCTGTTGCTGTTGAAGAATCTGCTGTCGCTGCAGCGTCGCTGCACGGCCAATAGCACCTTGTCCTTGATCTTGAACAACATTTTCATGTTGTTGAATAATCTGCTGCCTCTGCTGCAACAGCTGTTGATGCTGTTGTTGAGTCAGCAACTGCTGCTGTCCAAGTTGCGGGCTGTAAACAATGCCTCCCCTTCTTTGCGCTCCTTCCGGTGGCCTGACAAACCTTTGTGTTAAATTATGAACTCTCACACCCTGATCAGTCATCATTTGTGGCTGATTTCGTGTTTCAGGCGTAAAAGCCCCAGGAGAAGTTGTCAATCTTCCACTAATAATAGTTCTATGTTGTGGCGATGTCATCCGTGTAGTGTTCGGATTGCATAAGCCTGGAGAGGGCATTGGTCCAGGACTAAAGGGACTTTCATCACCTTGGGAGTGAGGAGTGCCTATTCTTGGCGATTGTTGCTGAACATTGTGAGGTGACATTGTCCCTGAATTGGTTGACTGAGGATTGCCCGGACTATGCTGAAGTAGTGGTGTACCGGGACTGTGTTGAATAATTGATGGAGTAGCTGGTGAATGTTGAATCATGCTGGGACCAGGACTTTGAGAAATCAAGGCCGCTGGAGAATGCATCGGAGAATGTTGAGAAGGTGACATAAGTGGAGAACAAGGCTCGTTTTGTGAACCTTGCTTGTGGCGTTGCTTGGCGTTGGTGTTATATTCTTGTATCGTCGTGGTATGTGCACGTAATTGCTTCCGGGAGCTGTCTAGGTGTTTCTGAATGATGGATTGCTCGCTGGTCACTCGTTGTAACTCGGCAGCATCATTTTCCGTCAGTTCATTGCCGGATTTGCGAAGTTGCCGTTGCTTGCTATTGAGAGACTATAAAAAAATAATAAAATTAGAAGATAAAAATAAATTAAGATTGAAGTCATTAAAGTTTATCAGAATTCAAAAAATCTTATTATATATATATATTATTATTACATAGAGAATTATAATTTATAATCATAATTTATTATTAAATTAATTAATTACTTATTTTAAAAATCTTTAAAGATAAATTTTTATCTACCTTTCTTATTTTACGAAGTTTTCCAACTTCCTTTTCATAATAAGATAATTGGGCCAATAATATGTCGTTCTGATTATGGAGCCACTGATTGAATTGCACATGCAGTTGTCGATCCTGCTCATTAACTATATTCTCTGGTGGAGTTGGCGGAGTTGGTATCAAAGTGCGGCTGAATATAGGCACTTTCGCTAAATTAATACATAATAATTTAAGATAGATTAAAACTGTTGCAACATATTTAAAAGAAGAAGAAAAATGTGAGGAAGTTGTGTTTCCAATGTTCTAATTGCTAATATTAAATAAAATATAAAATAATTTTGAATATTAATAATTAAAGATCAAAGTTCTAACAAATTTTAATAAGAATTTAGAAAGTAATTAAGATTCTAACAAATTGATTTTAATAAATATCTCTCAACCATGTTAAATTAAAACTTCATGTACGAATTCTTTGTGTTGCAAGTTAATTTACTATTTTACAAATTGCTTAATAATTATATATAAATCATTATTTAATTGAAGAAAAAATACTAAATGTCTACTAACATTCCGGTGGAGTTTGTGTGGCGATCGGCTGTCTCGTTCCAACTTGTGCGGCTACCAGTTTTGCCGCCCCGTCAGCAGCCACGTTACTTTGCTGCCAGTTGGTGCCAGGTGTCGAAGGTGGTCTTGCCGCACAGGACGGCCTGATCACCGGCACCATACTCTGAGGAGGCGACGTGGTGCCCAGGACATCAGCTTTAATTCTCTCGAACTCGCTTTCGCTCAAAAGGTTTCCACTGGTAGCGCTTTCAGTTTGCTGCTGCTGCTGCTGTTGCTGTTGCTGCTGCTGTTGCTTCTCTTGCTCCCGTTTTTCCTGCTCCAGCAGATCCTCCAGCAACAGCGGTTGCTCCTGCGAACATGACTGCTGACAGTCAAGGTCGATTTCGGATACAGAGAGTGCGACTTTGGGACATAGAGATTAAGATAGTAGTTGCAATAAAATCGAATCGAATTGAAATGTCAGGTAAGATTATCTATGCAAAGAATTAAAGTGCAGTATGTATGTGCAAAAAAGAATACACATGAATAAAACGTTGCCTTCTTGAACTCGACAGAAATTTATATAATAATATCTTTAAATCTTAATTCTCTCTCTCTTTCTCTCTATTACAAATATAAAGAAAGACGTATGATCTAAATCGGTAATATACACATATAAACACGTGTGCACACGCGCACGCGCATGCACACATGCAGAACGATTTCGACATTGATGCATTGATCATAAAAAAAAAAGCGATAGCTCACATTATTTTAAAATAACAAAAAAGTAATTAAGCAAATTTTGGTAAAACACTTATTCAACGTTAATGAAACCAATGTCATGCACCAGTGTGGTGCATATGCATGCAAACATTTAAAAGTGCATTAAAATCCATAACAAACTAAATATTAAAAAAAGGGGTGCCAATTGTGCAGGTATTACTAATTTCTTTTCATCTTTTTATATCAAGATAATAAAATTTCGATGTAATTATTTTATAAAAATCACATGTCTTTTAATTTTATTTGTAAACTAATATTTAATTATTAAATTGCTCTTCTTTTAATACATTATATTCTACAAAATAAATAAATATATGCTGTAAATAGGCAAATTAATTGGGTATTCTACTCGTTCCTTTTTTCTTGTAAAAAATGTTCTAACAGAAAATTCTTGCTTGCAACAAAAATTAAACGTATCTTTATTCAGATCTGAGAGAAGAAATTCTCTCCTCGAAGTTTTTAAAACGGGATGCTTTATACCTATTTATTTATTATTCAGACCTATTCATTCTGTGCTAATGTTAGAAATGCCCCGAGTCTCGCTCACCTGCAGAAGCAAGGGTCTTCGGTGAGGGTGCGACACCACGGAACCCATCGGCGGGCCCGCCACCGGCACCTGGTGCCCTGTTATATGGACCGGGGGCCGCGTCATACCTCGCCCACCACCACCTGGGCAGAGCCCCATCTAAACACATGCACCAACACCAAATGCATATTGCAAACTTGCACACCCAGGCCAAAAACACCAGCCAGTTTTTACCACAACCCTTCCAGTACCATGTAATAAGCATTTTCCAAATTTATTCTTATTTATTTCAACATACACACACTCTCCTTTCTTGCGCTTTCCATCTTTCTTTACCTCTCTTTATCAAAATGCTAAGGAAATATAATTCTTTTTGGCACTGAAAGTGTTAAATCTATTATTCAGCTACACCTACGATCACGACAAATTTGAACACCTTGGTTTTGCTCTTTGATCATTCCGAGGTAAAATCTTATTCTATTACAAAGTGAATTCATTATTATTATTAGTACATATTCTAATAAAAATGTATATTAATTAATGTGGATATTTATTTTTGCTTTCTATTTCATTAGTTAATTCTCTAATTATTACAATATATATCATCATAGATGTTTGTATATTTGCAAATAGTTTCTATAAATATATTTTTAAATGAAACCATAAATTATCGAAGTCTACAATTCTCGAATTACAATATAAATAATTATCTCGCCATAAATATATATAACCATTATCTTTATCAAAATTATATACTTTTTTTGAATGACAAAAACATATCTATAATCTTAAAATTGCAGCCTAGCAAATTATGCAACATTATTTCGTATATTTGAAACTGCAGCCGCGCAAAATATTTTTGAAATAAATTCAGCAAATTTGCCAAACTGATTGACACAAATATTATACATGCAATGATAAAATGTTCTTCTTTTTTAATTATGCATTGTAAAACGCTTGCAAACCATGTTATGTAATTAAATATGAGTTATTAACAGGCTTTTGTAGGTTATCGACGTTAATTATTACCAATTTTTTCTCTCTTCACTCAAAAATTACAAACTTTATATGAATAAAAGAAAGAAGAAAGGGAATAAAAAGTTCTAATGAAAAGTGTTTTATGAATAAATTCAAAATTTAATAAAGTATTTAAAAAAATAAAATAAAGATATATAAATTAATCAAAATTTTATTAAATTTGATTTAGAAGTATATCTAACATTAATTTCTTTCATTAAAGTTTATTCATTTTAAGTAATCCTTCCTAATTACGTCAAAATATTAAATATCAAAGCGATGCACAAATTTTCAAGAAATTTCCAAGAAGTCTCTATAATATAAAGATTGACCCTTACCTGTATCGGCCCGGGATATGGAGGAGGCGGTCCTGGATACGGTGGCGGCGGTGGAGGTGGAGGTGGAGCAAGCGGCATTCGAGGACCGATTACATGATTTACGGCAACCACCCTTCCCGTTACATTCGGCACTCCTGCTACTCGCATGCCTAGCCGTTGTTGTTGCGAAACTGCAAGACAAAATTAAATGTATATTAACAATCAAACAAATTAAAATACTAAAGCTAAATCTTTAACAAATCCGCTAGTTTTTCTGTGAAACATGCATAAAATCTTACACTTGTAGCTTTTAGATAAACAGAATATTCTATTGATTAAATATATATAAAATTATATATTAGTATTACAAGCGATTTTTTAAATCGCATTACCTTGTAAGTGCGCTTGCGAGATTCTCTGCGGATGTCCGGGAAAGGTCGGTGGATAACTCACTGTTACTGTATTCGTAGAAGTTACTACTCCTATCGCTCCATCTTGCGACATCAACCTCGTTCCTGGCAGCATCGGCCGACCCATCGCTGCTGCCTGCTGCACATGTTGATGCATCTGCTGCTGCACCACTTGCGCTTGCATCGTCTGAGATGTTGTCTGCGATGGCGTTATTGTCGGCACATTGGAATTTTCTGTCAGAGTCGTCAAACTCGTGCTCGTCGAGCAAGAATCAGCGATTTCGGAAGATGAGCCAGTCAATTCTGGTTTCTGATCCTCGTCCTTGGTTTCCTTTTTCTGCTTTTCGTCCTTGGGATCAACTTCGACTTGCTCCAGATCCAGATCGAGAATATTGGTTTTCTCTCCGCCTGCGATCGTATCCAGTTCCGGATCGGCATATTCCAAGATATTGAAGTCCGCTCCCATTTCGGCTACAAGAATAATATATATTTTAGTCGTATGTTTTCCAATTTAAATAACATTTTTATTCTTCCAAGTTGATTCATGCAACATTTTAAGTTGCTACGCATGCAAATCTTTTCGCTCCTTTCGATTCTGCAATAACTCACCAAGCAGCTCGTCATCATCATCCGCCAAATCTCCCAATATTGCACTGACCCCTTCGACTTCGACTATTGGACCAGCCCCCTCTTGCTCTAGCTTTTCTAATTCAGCTGTTACGTTATCAGGAATCTCGGACGCTTCCGAGGTAGTCACGCCTGTGGTTTCACTCATTGTCGTAGGAATAATAGGCGGTCGGACCATGCCCGAAGTGGCGGTGCCCATCATACGAATACCTTGGTTCAGATTCTCTTGCGCGGCACGCGCTGGTATGCGCTGATTCACGCTCTGAGCTTGATTCGCATCTAAAAAAATTTGTTTCATTTTTTTCTTGCAATTCTCGATTTGCATGAAACTTTATCTATATTCATGAAATTCTTGAAGATTTTTCTTCAAGTTTTAGAATTCTGTAATTGCAAACTCAAAAATATGGAATTCAAAGTGTTCGTACCTTTTATCTTTGGATTATATTAAGAAAATAAATTATTTAACCTAATAGAGTTATTAAATGCAACAGAATATTAAAATAGAATCTTAAAAAATTAATTTTATGAAATTTCTTAACTTCTACAACAAGACTCTTTTAATTTACCTGTAAACCTTTGTTGCTGTTGTAAAATGTCGTAAGGCTCGGAAATAGCATTTCTCACTGCTGGCATTCGCGTTTGCAAGCCCTGAGCTCCCTGGAAATGCTGTTGAGATATATTGGTGGCTACTTGAGGCCTATTCAGCAGCATTCTCGTGCGATGGTCAATCGAGCCCTGAATATTCCCTGCTACAGGATGTCGCGAGTTTATTCCTAGATTCGTACATCACACACAGAAATCTCAAGTAAAAATCAAAAATTCTACATAAGAAACTGAAATTGATATAATCAATTGATTTGATACAAATGTATTTAAGTGTTATATCAAATATTGTAAATCTGAATTTGTATATATTAATAGATCAAATATTCCGAAGCGTACCAATGGGATTTCTGATTAAGACATTTGGTTGAATGGGCATCCGTGGCCTGACGATGCCTGGCGGAAGTGGATGTCTGAAGGTGCCTTCGCCAGTGTTGCTTGGTACTTGAGAGTGTTGCGGAAGCTGCACGTGACCAGCCTCAAACTGTGTCTGATTGCTCTCTGAATTATTCTGTCCGTCTAAATTGCAAAAATAAATTGCGCAAAAATTAATAAGGTTTTATTATATGTGATAATTCACTCTCAAGAAATTAATATAAAATATTTCGTTGCTAGACGTGTAATAATACGTATTATTATCACACTATCAAAAATGATAAACTTTCATATCATTAAAATATTGCATATTATAAAATAAAACGTACCTTGAGTCCAATTAGCTCCTTCAATCTTCTTGGTAAACTGCTGTTGCCTTTGCAATAAGTCCCTTAGTTGCCTATTAACCTCTGGCTGCTGTCCAAAAGTCACCTCCTGTTCCTGAGATGTCCGCGTACTCTCAGTACCCCTTGGCGACGGATAGCCGGCCACAGCGGGGACGGGCGTGGGAGTGGCGGGCGGCTGACTGTAAGGATCGGGAGTTCGCGATGTTGCAGGAGAAGGGGGAGGTGCGTAAATGGGAGGTCGCGGAGGATTGAACACGGGAGTGCGGGGTGTACCTGGCGTTTGAGGTGACGAGTAGGGCGATGCGGGAGTTGAGACGTTGCCCTCGAAACGTTGGAAATGTGGTTCCTGAGAAGTCTGCGAGGACGCAGGGGACTGTGGAAAATCGTGGGGCGACTGTGGCGCCTGTGGTGAGAAAGGGGAAGGTGGCTGCGGAAAGCCTGGACGTACCCCCCGACAGGGAGCCTGCGCGGGCAGCCGTACCATGGCTTGATGATGAGGAGACTGAGGTGTAAGCCCGCGTGGAGCTTTGAGCGGGGGTGTGGCAAAAGTACTGCGAGAGCCTGGCGAGGGAGAAGCCAGAGGAGTCAATTGACTTGTGTCCTGCAGCAGAATGTTAGAATTAATGTTAATCGATATTAATACATTCGTGCTAAACAGATTATTGGACTAATTTTGTGCGCCTAAATGCACACCAGTGATCAGTATTATGTGCATCTATTGGGTTGATGAGAAAATTTATTCGGAATGTCTTTCGACAAGAGCGATGAAGAGCGAAGGAACAAATTACTCACTTGCGCCGTAGAAACTTGCAATTGCGTCGTCAATCCGGGGGTGGTTTCACCGCCCAGTTGAGGTGCACTTTCCTCGCTGATCTGTCTGTGCACTCGGGCAATCGCTGTAGAAGAAAACATATAAAGGATTTGATTAAGATTTTTATCCACATAAATATATAGAGATAATTCACTCTTGTAATAAAGTTTTCAATTGCTGTATACAAACTTAATGTGACAGGTGTACCGTTCACGCGTTGCTCATGAAGAACTTGCTGCTGCAATTGCGTCTGTTGGTGACGCATTGCTTGTAGCTGTTTCCATACTCTTTCCTGCTCAGCTTCTTTACTAGATCGATCTCTATTTGACAGTCTGTCCTGTTCCTGTTAAAGATCAACTTGATAACAATAGAATTATTCCTTGGAAAAGACCATTACATTTAATGTAGCTATTTATTTTTAGTCACAACCCATATTTTTGTTATATCTCTAGAATCCATCTAAATCGATGGAGAGTTACAGTAAATCCATTGCTATTGTTAATCTCATACATTACTTCTTCATTTAGTTATTAAATTTAATCAATCAAGTTTTATTAGTATCGTAACGATTGTTAAATATTAATTTTATTCAAAATTTGATCAATTTCAAGGCATTCAAAACTTGTGAAAATGTTTTAAATCACTTTATATGTCATACAAAATGTTATTAATTGCCAATAAAGATATAGAACTCTAAAATGTAATGATCTTTCTTCATAAAGCACTGTTAAACATAAAAGCATTAACTACAATCAGCCAATAAGAAATGTTCATATACGTGATGTTGGCTAAAAATCTCGAAAAAAATGTTTAAGAAAAACTGAGAATACTAACTCTTATTTTTACACAAGTTTCATCATATAGACAAATTTGAGTGCAGATTTTTAGCCGACATTGTATATTTTTCATGAACATTCTTAAAAATAACAATAATGGCACATCGCTAAATTAATAATGATTAGCAAAATTCTGTAAATCTCGTACATATGTGTGCAAACGCATCGGAAATTATAACCAACCACCATCTATCAACGTGTGTGTGTATACGTATATATACACGCGCACACACATGTGTACATAAAGAGAGTAATTTATATCATTAGTGTAATTACATAATTAATTCACTCGAAGAAAATGTTCATTCATAGCGAGAAACACTAGACACGATAAACACTACAATCGTCGAGGAATAATACGATAATTTCACATCCATGCACATAAAGAGAGTGTTATATATATTATATATACTAATCTCACCAATTACATAATAAATATAACTATATATGTACACACACGTATATATACATATATATGAACATAATTATATTAAGAATTATAAACAATCTGCATTAATTACAAAAAAAAGACATAAAACATAAAATCCCTTCGGGAGTAAAATTTAAAAAAAATTTATTTATGTAACAAAAAATTCCAAAATAATATATTTTTTATTGCGTATTTAGCTTAGTTTTGAAGTAAGTAAAAAAGAAAAAAGCACTTTAAATTATAACAATAAATTACTAATTATGTTCGTAATAGTTTTGGGGAAAAGCTAAACGTGTGTAAAACCATGAAATTAGTACTAAACTACTGCATAACCACATTATACAACAATATGCTGTGATACTGATCTACCAATCACCCACAACAACAAATTAAAAACAAATTGTAAGCGATATAAGCAACGGGTTCAGTGGATAGGGATGACTCATGACGTGGGATGGGAATAAAAATGACGGAATCGAATAAAAGATGTGTAACCATGCCATGGAAATATTCAAATAAAAAAAAAAAAAAAAAAAATAATACTATTACACTTCTATCACGGCGACGATAACAAATCTCTCCATATTCAAATTCAACGAAGGCGTTCTAAAAAATAAAAACATAAAAATATCTCATTATTCCAAACTAGCGAATTGTTATATATGCCAAATTAATTAGAAAATCAAATAGATACGTCAAAATAAATTCTTTATACAGCCAATAATTTACAATAATTGAAAAAAAAAAAAAAAAAAAAAAATACTGTATAATTCATACATAAAGCGCAGAGCCCTATAAAATATTAAAAAAACATCTCACTTGGAGATTTTAAAAAGATTTGAAAAATCTTCGCTTAATATCTCAAATAAGATACATATATATATTTATATATTCAGAGGAAACACTAAGTCTCGATCAGACACAAAGAGAGTGGCAAGAAAACACTACGGAGGCGCTCACCATGGCGTTACTCGGGTGGTGGTGTTGGTTGTGGTGATGGTTCTGTACGGGAAGCACAGTGTGAACAATTGCAGTAGGTGGTGGTGGCGGGGGTGGGGGGTCGTAGTGCTCCTGGCTAAGGGACGGGAGGGTGCTCATAATCTCGGACGGAGTAAGCACTCGTATCTGATGCTGATCTATGCCACTTCTCCTGCCGCCGCCGCTGTTAACGACAATCGGGGGTGGACGTTGCTGAAGAGATTGCTGCCCTTCACCCGAATTGTTGCAGTGAGAAGAAGAAGAAGAAGAAGACGAGGAGGAGGAGGAGGAACAGGAGGAGGAAGAGGAGGAGGAAGAGGAGGAAGAAGAAGACGAAGACGAAGAAGAAGAAGACAAAGAGAAGGAAGAAGCTGGTGTTGTGCAAGATTGCAAGGCGGATGACTGAAAGTTTTTGGGAGTTTCAGGGGAGAGAGAGGGGCTGGGCGGGGCTCCCTGCACCGCACACACCTCCTGATGCTGATTATTGCCGGTTGATGTCATCCCCGTGCTCATCAACATTCCTGGTTGCTTTTCCATGGGCTTCAGGCCCAACGTCTGCTGCGGCTGCTGTGGCTGCGGCGGCTGCTGCTGCTGCTGTTGTTGCTGTTGCTGCTGCTGCTGCTGCTGCTGCTGCTGCTGCTGCTGTTGTTGTTGCTGCTGCTGCTGCTGAGCCGTCATGACGATAGGTTTGGTGATGATGGTGGTCATGGCGGTAGTAGTTGTGGTGGTGGTCATATTGATGGTGGTGGTGTTGGTGGTGATTATATTGGTGGTGATGGTGGTAGTGTTGGTGGTGCTTGGTTGTGGTGTCTCCTTGGAAGGCTGTCGGGTCAACACCGGGCGGTTCGCGGTCACACGATGTGGTATACACATGAGGGTATCTCGCGTGAAGCAATTTTGTTTAAGAATAGATTTTACGCAACTCAACAAACGCGTTGAATTTTGCCACAAAAATTATTGTATCTTCTAAAAAGTATTGTAGTAAGTAAAATGAAGGAATATTAATTCTATACTGTTGTTTCCTCTTGCATTTTAGCACAATAATTTTGCATCACTCTACCTTGCCTGATGCTTTCTGAAATCTAACTCTAAGGTAGCAACTTTACGAGAAACACCCTGCACATAAAAAATTATATAATGGGCCCGAAGGAGACGACATAAGAATATGTAGCGTTTCGATACGAAATTCTATCGATAGTACATATAAGACCGAGTCTGTATACTTGTAAGACATATAAAAGACATATAGAAGCAGGGTATATGGATCTTTCGTACGAATTTATGGATCTACACTCACATAAATCTGCGAAAGGATTCTTATCGAATACCTAAATACTATGTTGCATTGATTTTAGCCTTAAATATTATACATATCTAAGTCTAATTTACAAAAGAGGGACAAAGAGGACAAAGGGGTACATCCATCTACACTGACAAATCTATAAATCTACGAATTAAAAATTTACAGTTAATAAATTTGTAAATTTACATCTGACATATAAACACATGAATCAGATTTAAGAATCATTTTTTCTTCTTTTTAAAAACCATTTATGCATTCATGAATGTTTTCACGAATAATTAAATAAACGATAAAAAAATGATTTTTATGAATGATTATAAAATCATGCTCTCTTCGCCTCTTTTGGGCCCACTATATTGAGGTCCATTTTACATTCAATTCTTATTTTGAACGCGAGTGGAACTCATCATATTACTAGCGGCTTACAATATTTTCTACCATAAAAATTCAACATAGTTAAGGATTCACTAAATTTACAATATTTTGCATCATAGTGGCACGATTTAGGAATTTTTAGCTTTGAGTTTCAGATATTTTTTTCTTACGGATTTTTCTCCTTATTTTTATTTACTTTTCGACTTCTTTTTTAGAAATAAAACCATTTCTGACGTTACAAATAGTAAATTCCATCTATAATAAAATATTTGTTTTACTTCTAATAGAATCAATATATAAATGTATGATGGAATTCACTCTATTTATCTTCAAAATAAAAATTATTTTAATTATTATTTTAAACTACGCCCAAACCTATAAGCAAAACAATTTAAATGTAATCGAATCTTCATAATAGATAAGCATTTTGTCTTTGTTATCAGACTTTAATCGATAATGCTGTAAGAACCCTGAATTTTGCAGCGGGAATATAATTTGAGACACACAGAGCTGTCGAGCTGTTAGTTTCACTTGAATGTTAGCACAAGACACGCTCGAAGACAAAAACCCCAATGAAGAACGTTCAGAAATGCGGGTTATCCCATCGAATTTCGCGCTTCTCAGCCACAAATTTCAGCTGGGAAATTTAATCAACGCATAAAAACAAGCGCAGTAGTTGGAGACCGCCGTTTCTATCCTTTTTGTTTTGCCATTAAATATATAAATTACCTGTTGTGTCTTTTTCATGCGAATAGCAGCTCTATTGTCTCGGGCTTGAGTCAAGTATGGGGCTTTCTTATCTTGTGGAAGTGCTCGCCACTTCTTCAGGATTTGCTTGCATCTATCAGACCACGCTGCTTGAAACAAAAACACTTGTCAAACTAATAAAATTACAAATGACAGTTATAGATTCTCAAAATTTCAATCCTTTACAAGATAAACAGAAGATGGAGAGATGTTGAAAATTTCTAATAAAACAGCAACAATCAAAAAATGAAAGAATTTATAAAATACTTAAAAATAAATGAAAACAAACGTATTGGATTAGACATGCACAGCTTCGCTCAGTTTTAAGAATATATTTTCACCTGGATATTCAGTTTTCCATTCAGGATGGTTGATATTGGCATAAAGCACTGAGGACATCGTCGCACCAGTGCCCAATGTTTCATCAGCCTCCATTCTTATGTTGGTTCTTTGGTTGTACGAGCTGGTAGCGTTGCCTGCTGAAGTATTTCCCTCATCTTCAGGATTCACCCACGGACTTGGCGGTTCCGAAAATGCTGGACTAAATTGTGGACTGCTGCAAAAATTAAAATCGAGATTCAATTAATATATTAAGTATGTACACATTTTATACGTAATTTTTTCAAACTATTTTAATTTTGATATTATATAAGTATTATCTTATATATATTTTTATATTATCTACATCTACAATTTCTATATTTATTCAGTTTTTTATTCAACTTTATTCTAGACTAAAATATAAAATCTATTCTCACTTGCTATATTCAGAATGATATGGTGAAGGCGGTGGAAAACTCATCGGAGAATTTAAGTTTGATTGACCTACTGGAGGCAGAGTACCAGGTACTTGAGGTCTCGCCAAAGGCATTGCTGCTGGAATACCTGTTAAAGAATTGTTTTCAAAATTTAAAGTGCGTGTAAAGCGTGACAAGGATAAGTCATTAATGTATCTAACGTATATTTACCAGGATGTGGAGAAGGTGACACTAAAGGCGTGGTAGACGACGAAGGATGCGAAGTCTGAGCTTGGACAGAAAATACTGATGACTCCTGAGACTCTTGAGATTCATCGGTCAGAACACCTTTAAATATCTCCTCAATATCCTTGCTGTCCATATTTGGCAATCCTTGAGAGAAACAATTATGTTAATTTAATCAACACTTATCGTCAACAAAATATTCCAGTTTCAGTATTTAAAAATATTTAAAAATATTTAAAAATATTTAAAATACTATTTAAATGTTTCTGATAAACGCTCTAATGTAAATATTTCGAATATTTTATTATTCTCAATATATTAACTATAATATTTAATACTTTATTTCGACAGATCTTTACCAGTGTCTCTGACCATAGATTCCAGTGTAAAATGCGGACTCAGAATGTCCGTTAATTCATCTTTGCTTCCACCTGGAGCATCGTCCAATTCGTCCAACGCTTCGCTCGCCTTTGCT